TGGACACTGGGAAGAGGTAACTATGGGGAGGAAGTGGGAGGGGAGCTGTTGAATTGTAAATTTTGGTCAATGACATGAGACAAATTATACGTGAACTGCTATATGAAAAGTGAATTTACTCTGTAAATCTTCACCCAAATCAAAATAAAATAAGGAGAAGAACCACAGGATCATATCAATTGATGCAGAAAAGGCATTTGATAAAACTCAACACCCTCAAAACTGTCAGCAAAATAGGAATAGAAGGGACATTCCTCAACATAATAAAGGGCATCTATGCAAAACCAACGGCCAACATTATTCTCAATGGAGAAAGACTGAAACCATTCCTCTTGAGAACAGGAACCAGACAAGGATGCCCACTATCACCACTTCCATTCAACATTGTACTAGAATTCCTAGCCAGAGCCATAAGGCAAGAAAAGGAAATCAAAGGCATCTGGATTGGTAAGGAAGAAGTCAAACTATCCCTATTTGCTGATGATATGATCCTATACCTAGAAAACCCAAGAGACTCAGTCAAAAGCCTACTGGAACTGAGAGATTTAGCATGGTGGCAGGATATAAGATCAACATCCAAAAATCAGTTGGCTTCCTCTACACCAGGAAAGAGATTGCTGAAGAAGGAATAAAGAATTCAATATCGTTTACAATAGCAACCAAAAAAATAAAATACTTGAGAATAAATCTTACCAGGGACACAAAAGACCTGTACAAAGAAAACTTTAAAAAACTACTTCAAGAAACCATAAGAGAACTACATAAATGGAAGAACATCCCATGCTCATGGATAGGAAAGATTGAACATTGTTAAAATGTCCATTCTACCCAAGGCAATATATACATTCAATGCAATCACAATCCAGATCCCATCAACATTTTTTAGAGATATTGAAAAATCAATCACTAACTTTATATGGAAAGGAAAGAGACCTCATATAAGCAAAGCACTATTGAAGAAGAAGAACAAAGTTGGAGGTCTCAAACTGCCAGATCTCAAAACCTACTATACAACCACAGTAGTCAAAACTGCCTGGTATTGGTTTCATGACAGATAAATAGACCAATGGAATAGAAGTGAGAACCCAGAAATAGATCCTTTGACCTATAGTCAGCTGATTTTTGACAAAGGGGCAAAATCCATTAAATGGGGTAGAGATGTTTCTTTAATAAATGGTGCTGGCAAAACTGGAGATCCATTTGCAGAAAAATGAAACAAGATTTGTACCTCACACCATTCACAAAAATGAACTCGAGATGGATCAAAGACTTAAATGTGAAATCCAAAACTACAGTGTT